TGGTATCACTTCGTATGAGCCGGCCTTCGTAAGTATTATAATAATATACAATGAAACAGCTTTTACACGTCAATTTATATGTGAAAAACTAGATGAAGCTAAAAAATATGAAAATGATGATGATAAAAACTACATAAATATAGATGGAACATCCAGTTCATTAGGTACTCTGTCAAGTGCAAATGGAATGTAACGGACCCGAACGAAATTTGGTTTAAAAATAGATAACAGTTTAGGATAGCACATACATAGGTTAGTTTTTACAATGGTACTTGCGCCGCAGTCGCTTGCAAAAGCTCACGATTTAAATATGAATCTATTTTAACACCCACTCTGCCTAACATTTAAGTAAAAGATAATAAAAATAAATAAGCTTGTATTTGCACTCTCATGCTTCTATAAATAAATTAAAATAAAACTAGACTTACTACACTACGCATGCGCGGTAGCTGCTCAATTTATACAGTCAGCAAATTAGTGCTTCAAGTGTAAAATAAAATACTTTTAATATTATCACTAGGCCGTGATTTCTACTATACTTTTGAAAGATCAAAATAGCATTCATAAGTGAATGTAGAAATAATTAAAATCAGTCTCTGCACCTTAGTGGCGCAGTTTTGGCAACAAAAGTATGATTCCCTTAAATAAAAAAACAAAAATAGCCAGGATTGCTAACGGTCTTTAAAAAAATGTGTCTATACTAATATTATAAAGAGGTAAAATTTGTAAGTTTGTATGTTTGTTAGTTTGTATGTAGAGGGTAATCTTTGGAACGGCTCGCTGGTCGGATTGCCAAAATCAATGTTCCTGAGTGCTTTAGGCTATACAACATCACGCTACGATTAAATGGAGCCGAGCAGCGGGTGAAACCGCGCCGAGAGTAGCTAGTATTTTATATGACGAATGATTATAATATGTGCGCGAGCGCCGGCGTTCACTTGGGGTTTGATGAACGAAATAAAAATTGATTAAATTATTTATTAGATAAGACAGAAAACGCGCTGGCCATTCACCTGATGGTAATTCTACAAGTGCGTTGCGGCCTTTTGGGAATAGTTAGGAATTTGAGGATTGGGGATTTGAGGATTTGGGGATTTCAGTTGGGAGGGCCGGGAAGCAACCTCTCTCACATGGCGAAACAAAACGCAAGCATTTCACGTCGGTGTTCTGTGACGCCGTGGTATCACTCCAATCAAGTTGACCCAAACGTGCCGATGCATGACTCTATAAAACACTATAAGTACATTTAAAACACACAGTTGGGCCAAACCCAAGTTAATAAAACCTGGGTCAAAGCCACCTGCGAACTCGCTGGCAATCAATGATATTATAAGTAAAATGGTATAGATAGGTTACATAAACAACATTCGATTTTCAAAAACGGCACAATTATGCACACATGAATAAATCGTATGATACACGTTAAAGTGGGATGGCATGATTCAATAATCGCGAGTGAAAAAGAGACAAATATGAAAAAGTGTGGCTAGTTAGCCACATTTTAATCCTATCACTTGCTGAGCGCTTTTAACCTATTTACACCTTTTTACTTATAATATCATTGCTGGCAATTGACAAAAAATGCAAAAAAAAAGTTTTCGAAATACTGTCACGTTCTTTAGGAGAAAACAAAAAAATCACCAACAAATTCTCCAGTCGAGTTTTTGAACAAATATCGCTTCACTTTTGTTACTGACCATACTCCGTACTTGCAAAACGAGTGTGATAACAAAAAAAAAAGAAAACAAAAATCGATTAATCTGTGCACAATTCGTTTTATTTCTTTTCTTGTTTGTTTAAGATGCAAGCACTTAAATATATTAAAAGTCAGCTTCATTTTGTAAATCTTTTTGAAAAGGTCAATTATTTAACATACATTATTTAAAGAAAAATAATGGTGGATATCAATTTGTTAGGTTTTTTAATGTGATAGGACGCAAACGTGCATATGGATTACCTGATGGTAGGCAATCAGTATTGCGTCGAGGAGCGTAAAGTGCGTTGAAGACATTTTGGGGATAAGGGTTTTCGAGATTCAGGGATTGCGGGGAGAGGAAGGATTGGGCCTCCTTTTTTACATGAGGAAACACTACGCTACGGTTTAAGCCGATTTTCCGTGAGGCCGCGGTATCACTCTGGTCGAGCTACTCGTGCCAAAAGCATCTATCTCCTACACTTATATTAACATTTTTTTAAATATATTATGATCGCTGAATGATAGATTCAGTGATGATCTTCAAATATAATTACTTATCTGAAGATAGGCAACACTAAGCCAGGGTCTGCCTGGCTTACTGTTGTGCCTTTAATTACGAATTTACAAAGATTGTCCGAGTTATTTGCAGTTTTGTAGAGAAATTAGATAAAGAAAAGTAAAGTTTATTTTTAAAAACTTTCTTATATTTTTTTTTATCAAATTGACCACCTTCTTGGGCCCGAAAAGTGCTAGAGTGGCGACTAAGGACCGGAAAACGTAGGCAGGCCTCCCTCTAGGTGGACCGACGACATCGTCAGAGTCGCGGGGAGCCAATGGATGCAGGTGCCAACTTGTCGTTCGACGTGGAGAGCTAAGGGGGAGGCCTTTGTCCAGCAGTGGACATCTTCCGGCTGATGATGATGATGATGAACCACATTCTTACAAAAAAATCGGAAATAAGTTGGCGATCTTTTATGCCACGCATCGGTTAACATACATAATTTTTGAAATTTCAAAAATCTCTTTATATTTTGCCTTGAACTACATTCCAGTGAATCTGTAACTTAGCGTGCTAGTAATGGTAACTTTTCCTCTACAAATTTAATCTTAACTTGGTTAATCTTGTGGTTAAAAGGTGCCATTAAACTAGTTTATCTTGGTATCAATTAGCACTGGTCAAGCGTGTAATGTATTTAATTTTATTAGTACTGGTTAAGTCAGTCAAAGAGTTTTTATAGAAGAGGGTGGCAAACATGCTATCGTATGAACTGATGGTAAGCAATCGACTTCTCTCATGTATATTATTATATTGTTTTTGGCTTTTTGGGGATTTGAGATTAGGCATTGAGGATATTGGTACCTACTTAAACTAAATGTAAGCGTTATTCTACGTCGGTTTTTCTGTAGTCCTCGTTTTAGTACAGTCGATTCGGCCCATTCGGGCCAAAGTTAGACTCTCCCAGACTTATTACCTATACATATAGCTTATAATTTAAAATATTATTTATTGTCCCAAAATAGACTTTAACTTCAAGTAAACTTTTTTAATTTGTTGATTGTTTTGGTAGGTCCACAATTATTTAGATATGGTTTTAAAAATCCTTCAAATCATCAATTTATGGATGAAACTTACGGAACACATCAAATTTTTCGAACATAATGCATTGAGATCAGCCGTGGTTTTTGGTGCATGCACAATACAATAATACTACGCCCCCGGATTTGAGCAGGAGAAGAAACAGGATGGTTTTTAGTCAGTAAGAGTCTGTCTAAAAGTCATTTGATTGAAGATTATCTCCTCGCAAAACACAGCATTGAAATTGGTTAATTTTAGACACCTAAGACAACCTTCTTATGTTTAATAAATTGAATTGTCACATTAATAAATCATTGATTATTATTTATGAGAAATATGCTTTTATAACTTATAATGCAAACCTATAAATATATATTTTTTTTTATGTGATAGGACGGCAAACCAGCAGACGGATTACCTGATGGTAAGCAATCGGCGTCGCCAATGGACACCCGCAACAAAGAAGGAGTTACGAGTGCGTTGCCGACCTTTTAAGGATTGGGATTTTGGGACTGGGAAGGGATTGGGGTAGGGGAAAGATTGGGCCTCCGGTAACCTCACTCACACGGCGAAACTCAACGTTGTGGTTGTTTCACGCCGGTTTTCTGTCAGGCCGTGGTATCACTCCGGTCGACCCGACCCATTTATAGTGTGTGAGACCCGAGGCTCTCACACACTATAAATTGATGGATGTTTGTTACTCTGTCACGTAAAACCTACTGTACGGATCTAAATGAAATATGACACGGAGATAGATTAGGTATAGTTTAGAATAACACATATTTTTACTCGAGTTGGTACTAAGGGATATCCACAATAATTATTGTTAGAGTAAATTCAAACTTATTGACATCGCATGCATAAATTAATACGCTGACCTAACATTCAAAGTTATCTGGCAATTAAGATATTGTTTATCTTTATAAGCAAGCGGTTAAAGATATGGGAAAAGTAAAATTGTGCAAATGTAGCTAGGTAAGTAGTTACATAGTAGAGTGCACTGAGATAAATCTGATAAGAATATGGGCTAAGTTTACAAGAAAGTAGAACGAAAATTGTTTAAAGTTTTTTGTAGATAGGTGAAGTAACGTCTGTTGTATTCGAAATTAGAATTAACGTTTAAAACCTAGGTACATACTTAATATATTTATTAGGTACGGAAGTTTTTGTCGTTTTTGGCTTCAATTATTTTTTGTTATACGATATTATACGATGCGATTTATACGATTAGGTAATTAATTATTTTTTATATTTTTATCACAATAGTTTTACAAAGTTAAATAGTTATTTTTTATAAATTTAATATTGTAAAATTAAATACTACCTATACAACACTTGGTGACGTGCTCAATTTATTTAAAAAAGGAAATGTATTAACATTAAATTTGTTATTTATTTGTGTAGACGACAATGGCGTCAAAAACGTTTGTACCTGTGTTATGTATTAAAAATATTAAATATTTTTTTGCAAGAAACATTCTTCGTCACCTTGTTCAATTTAATTTAAAAATGAAATAAAAAACGGAGTGCAATTGTTTGCGTTATTGGTACACTATTTGTCGTCAAACAATAATTACTTAGTTTCACTTTTATAATTGAATAAATACACTTACGAATTTTGTATTTTTTCAGCTTTTTTTTATTTGACTATCGGGTGACGCACGCACTTGCATACAAGTCCACACATGGTCAACAGAACGCGAGGAACACTTGCCACAAAAAACCTACCTCTTCATCCCAAGAAGGTTCCGCATACTCCTGGTCTCCAGCCTCCTCCCGGCGTTCCTCCTTCATCATCTGCAGGTCTTTCACCACTCCATCCATCTGCTCCGCACTCAAACCTCCCCACACCTTCATAGCAGACAACAATTCCTCATCTTCATCACTCAACTCCTCACGTTCCGGGGACAACCGAATAGCGTTCAATCGATCTAACTTTTCGTACAACTTGTCTTCCGGAGACGGTTCCGAATAGCGATCTGGGGCGGCAGTAAGCTTGTCTAGCTTTTGGTAAAGTTTGTCGAAACGGTTCGAGAAGGGAGTGTCGGTGACATGAGCGGTTCGGATGCGGTGCGTAAGGAAGATCACGAGAAGGGATAGACGCAGCATCGTGCGAGCGCGGCGGGCGGGCGACTGGCGCGGCCGCACGCCACATGTTGCCACTCCGGACCCGCGCGCCCGTCCCACCGACCGGGATCAATCTTGATTTTTTCAAACCATACGATCTCAGTGTAAAATCATTCACAATTCACACATTTTTATCAAATCTGTTCTTCTGAGCTGTTCCTTTTATCTCCGGGATGTCCCGGGTCGTAGGTTCATCAAGTTTATTAAGATAAACTTAGTTATTATACCTACCTAATACTTGTAGGTGTTAATACGTAAGTGTAGAGTCAGTATTTAAACATTATATTATGTTTTGTAATTATGTGTCGAGTGACTCATAAGAAATTCACCCTATAGTCATAATATTATACACAGTCAACTAAATGGCGGAATTCTGATGTTCAATTATTTTAATATTATGATAAAAACTAGAGGATTAAATTTTAATACAAGCATTCAACAATTGTTTTTTTAGTGTTCCGTCACTATTTTAGTATTAAGCATTCTTCCTCTAATAGAAATATGTTTTATTAACGACCTGAGTTTTGCATTAGGTACTTACTTTTGTACTATCTTACTTTGTTTAATCCACAAATTGTTGTTTCGGGTCTGGGTGTGATGTGTATGGGAATTTGAATGTTTGTAAACGCACCCACGACACAGGTGAAAATCTTAAAAGCGGGGCAATGTTCTTTTGTAAAAAAAATTGTAATGTTAGTAGTTTTTTTTATAAATAACTTTTTTGTCATTCCAAAAACATTTTGTGTAAGTAGGTACATACCATTTTATTTTAACTGTTGCTACCTACAATCTTAGTTTGTAAAACATACTTATTTCTTCGTAAATGATCTGTTTTGGTATTTTGAATTCTATTAATAAAACATTGTGCCGTCGCTAGCCAAATTTTTGATAATAATTTAGAGATATGTACAGACTAACACATAAACATAACTCAGTACAATAACAGATTTGTTTACAAAGAAAGAAATACATATCTATTATATTACTAGATAGTTATTTTTAGTTTTCTTTTAAAATAATTAAGTAGTTTCAATTTTGTTATCTTGTGAAAAAAAAAACAAAGTGAAAATAGTGATTACAGATTCAAATTGTTGGTTTTATTGCTCTCTCATAATACTTTTAAAATTAAAAAATTAAATATAATAAACATTTAATGACCAACAGCCGAAATAGAAACTTTAGAAATGGCAATTTTTGACACTAACCCATTGACGAAAACCAAGATCTTTATTATAACTTTCGTGAGACATTCTAAATTATTTAATATGTTTTCAGCTTACTCACGTAATAATTTGACGAGATACTCGACTAGTTTCAAGCCATGCTAGAGGCCCATATTCATGAGCAGCATTCCGCGACACGCGACTCGGCGACCGTCGCGCTGCTACTGTAGTAGCAGCTGAGTAAGCCGAAAACATAATAAACCAAGATCTTCAGAGAAGACAATTACAAAAATACCGAAATAGTGAAGTTTATTGCATATCAGGGTCATTAAAAACTCAGCCGGGGTTGCGGTTTGGTGTAATAAGGTTCCACCTGGCCTGGAACAGGAGAAGAATCGGGGTGTGTTTTAGTCAGTAAGTGTGTGACACTGCCTCTCGCTCCACCTAGAGTTGGAAAAGATATCTAATAACTTTAACCCTCGAAACATGGGGTTGCGAGGTAGGCGCAATGTGGCACCACGGCCTCGGCCTAAAGCAGGAGAAGGAACAGGGAGTTTTTTGTCAGTAAGAGTCTGACACTCTCTCTCGTCTGGCCCTGGCCTTGAGAAGTCATTTGATAATTTTCCCTTGACAAAAATCTTCTCGAAAAATACAAACATTGTGCCATGAAAAACTGTCTTCCTACCAACCTTTCTGCCAGACACGAGGCACATTAACAAACATCATGTAAGTACATAAAAAAATATTAGGTAGTCCAATACCATCCGTTCTTCCAATACTTGCTCTCCCCATCCCAAAATCTCCAAAACCCTAATCTCTAAAAGGCCAATAACTTTTCTGATGTTGCGGGTATCCATGGGCAGCGCTAATTGCCATCAGATCAGGTAAACTGTCTGCGCGTTTGCAATCCTATCACACACACACACACAAAAAAATACCAAATTATAGCCAGCATTACTTTTCCTAATAATGCACTATCTTATTTATCGTATAAAAAAAGAAAAGCCATTAAAATGAAAAAAAAAAACAAAACACGGTCTCAATCAAAGCCCATACTAAGCCTTTAAAGAAGTATCAAGAATAAATAATTTGATAAAATTACAAATGCAATCAGATTCTTAATTTGAAACAATCAAAGGCAGACGATACTTTGACCGCGCATAAATTGCATTGTTCATTCAAGCGTCTGAAGCAATAAAAAGTAAATACATACAATTACCTACACGACTTTTTAAGGTTCCGTACCCTAACAAAGGGCAATAACAAGGGGAACACTGACACTAAGATTCCGCTAAAAGTCAAAAGTCAAAGTCAAAATCATTTATTTCAATTAGACCACAGAAGGCACTTTTGAACTCTCTGTCACTCTCCGTTCAGAATGTCTGTCGTGAAACTTCATAGCTTTTTTTGTCATAGGAAAATCATGAAATGACTCTTCCCGTCCAGGGTGAGTGCGAAAGACGGTTTCAGACTCTTACTGACTAACCTCCCTGTTCCTTCTTCTGCTTTAGGCCCAGGACGCGGGTGCCTCATTGCGCTTACCCCGCAACCCCGGCTGAACATCAGCCCTAAGGAGAAGCTTCATAGCTAGACTGTTGAAAATAAGACAGATGGCAAATTTTGCCACTGTAACAGTAAATACTCTTCCCCTGAACTGGCTGGGCAACCGGCTGCTCCGAAGTCTCCCATGCTTAAAAAACTTAAACTTACTTTATTTTACTTTGTGACTGACAAGATAAAATTAAAAAAAAAAACAAAATACCTAATATTCCTGCCGGCCTTTCGTAGATTTAGGGATTGGAGAGGTATCGAGGGAGGGAGGTAAGGGCCTCCGTTGTGGCTATTTCACGCCGGTTTTCTGCTGGCTATTTCTCGTGTAGAAGCATGGTTCTCCCACACTTATAAGACATTTAATGGTACAATAGTGTTGTAGCAATATAACTACATAAAGTTGTTATACACTGACTTCATTTGATCAGCCTACCAGCACGATAAACAAATCAAAAAGATCTCCAACGTCCGACAATAGGGACATCTACCTCATATATAAATAAGTCACGATCCGTCTGTCCGTCTGTCTGTCTCGACGCTCATTCATACTTACAATCTGCATGTCTAGCCAGTTCTGTATACCTATGCACGCTTTATATTAAAACTGGTATTTGCAGTAAAGGTGAGACAGTACCTCAACCCTCAGTGCAGATGTTGGTAAAAATTACTATAAGTATCACATATTTAATTCATCAAACCCCAAGCGAATGCCGGCGTTCGTGTACCTATTGTGTCTCGAATTACCACGATTGAACGGTGAAATCTATATCTATACTTAATATTATAGATGCGAAAGTAACACTGTCTGTCTGTCTGTCTTTCCTTCACGCCTAAACTACTGAACCGATTTCTGTGAAATTTGGTACAGGCTTAGTTTGCAACACGAGAAAGGACATAGGATAGTTTTTATACCAAAAATCTGCAGAAAGTCACTATTCCACGCGGACGGAGTCGCGGGCAAAAGATAATATACTACTCTGTCAAGAAAGTACCGGGAAAAAGTCAATAATACACAAAATGTTTGTTATTCATCTAAATTTATTTTATCACCTTCAAAGTATGCTCCTTCAGAAACGATACACTTACGCCAACGAATAATCCAATCATCGAAACTTTTTTTAAACGCTGTTTCTGGAATTGAGTTCAGTGCTCGCCGCGAATTCTCCTTTATGTCTGCTAACGATTGAAAACGGGTGCCACGAAGGGGTAATTTGAGTGTGGGAAAAAGAAAGAAGTCGGCTGGAGCCATATCTGGTGAATATGGTGGCTGCTCGATGGTGTTTGGACAAAAAATCGTTTACAATGATGGCCTTGTGCGAAGGCGCATTATCTTGATGCAAAATCCAAGAATTTTCTTTCCTTTTACTTTTTCGTCGAATTTGTTCTCTTTAACGCCGCATAACGCTCAAATAATATTCTTTAATTACCGTTTGACCTTCGGGCAAGAATTCTGAGTGCACAACACCGCGATAGTCAAAGAAAACAGTCAACATGACTTTGACTTTTGATCAACTTGACGTGGTTTTTTCGGTTTTGGTTCAGTTGGAAGGCGCCATTCCGAAGCTTGTTGACTAGTTTGCATGTCAAACTCGTAAACTCTCGTCTCGTCACCAGTAACAATGCGTTTCATGAATGTTGGGTCGGTATTGACTCGTTCTAGCATGTCCTCAGCGACTTTCATGCGATTTAGTTTTTGAAGAAAATTCAGGTCTTTTGGGACTAGCCGAGCGGCAACACGTTTCATACCCAAATTATTTGTTAAAATGGTACGGATCGACTCGTGAGATACAGAAAGGATTTTCAGTCACTATTTCCTTCAGTTTTGCGATGTTAACTTCAGTTGCAGACGTTGATGGCCTACCAGAACGAGGCAAATCTTCCATCACATCTCGACCGCTTTTGAACGCTTTGTACCACTCATAAGCACGTGTTTTTGATAAAGTCGATTCACCGTAAGCCTTTTGTATCATTTTGAGTGCCTCCGAACACGAAATTTCATTGGCGATGCAAAATTTAAGACAAACTCTTTGTTCGATGTTTTTGTCCATTATGAAATTCGCAATACACACTAGATATTATAAAACTAAAAACAGCACTGTTTTTAATATAAATAACAGATGCAACTCAAATTCCGCGCCAAAATGGAAAACAGTTATGCCAATCTAACAACAACAAAAAAAATTAAAATTCTAATTTGGAACCATAAAAAAAACATTCATTCCCGATACTTTGTTGACTGAATGTAAATAAAATAATTATGCAAGGAACGAACCAATGTTAGTCACCAAAGGTTATGCCCCAAATAGCTTTAGGGCTTAAAATATTAAATTTATTGGTATCGAAATGAAAAAGAACTCCCAACTCACACAT